TCCCCCCCCCCCCCCCCTCGACTTTTTTTCACTTTGATGTTCCTTCCCAACTGTGAAGCCTGAAGTCAACTAAAGAGCTAATTATAAAAATCAAAAAGGCCTGCCATTTGAAATAAATAAATTTTCTGAATTTATCTAGGCTCCAAAATCGCCTCAAGTCTCAGAACTCCGTAAGACCAGACAGCTTTCCTTCAAAAATTAGGCAAGACAACACACTTCGGCAAACATGCAAAATTTGTGAATATTTAAAAAAAATTGGAAAGTTAATTTGTCTTTGATAAATGTTTCATTTTCAACCAACACTCGCCTATGAAAGAAGGTCCATTACTCGATGATTTAGATATATCATGACAAAATGAACTGAATCATGCTACAGGTTACAAATTGGACTTCTGAATTTTAATGTCCTGACGTGAAGCAATGTTGAACTTGGTTGCTTGTCATCAAACACTTCTGATGTGCTAGGGCAACAAATTGTTTGCCCAATTAAAAAGTCAAATAACTTTACCCAATAGAGGACATTGGTCCACCCTTCCATTGTGACACATTGAAAGACAGTTAACATGGAAGCCGCGAGGTTATCAAAATTTGTGATCCCGTAATTCGGACCAGGCCATCGTTCAGGTGGCCTAATATACCCCGTGAAAGCGTAGGGGTTGGCACTCATATTGGCCTCGATAGCATTACGCTCTGCAATCGCCGCTTTTGTCATATTTGGCCGGAAATCATGACACACCAATGGAAACTTGCAGACGTAACCGTGTCGATTTAGACTGCAAGGTGTGGGATTATCCATAATTTCACCTAAAATGAGAGACTGCGGTTTTGATGTATTTCAACAGTGAAACGGTTGGCTTATCTCAAAGTGATAAGTAGTTTTGGGAAAAATATACAGACTCAAGTGCTTTCGGAAAGTTTTGAATTGGAGTAGCTTTGTATAACTTGTATAACTTGCAATGAGAAATTCATCCAACTTTATAGGTGTTAAAACACCTTTAATGGAAACTGTTACAATTAATTCCACTCTCTATTTACTGTTGCATTTTAGATTGTCCAACAAATTGAAGTTAAAGACTATCCTCTATATAGGTATACTGGGGTGTGTGATAGACTTACCTCCACGTGGTGCACCCTGGGCAACGTATACCCATACGGCAAAAAAGTCTAATAAATGGCAATTGACTTCTGACTTCAAACTACCTTGACCCCAGTGTATGCCATATTCCACAACTTCCACAGTACTCAACTCACCATTTCTCTGCGTTTGTGACTGACTGTCTGTCTCTCTAACATCCGTGAATCACTCTTCTGTGCCACACCTCTCGACTTTCTGTTACCCTGATGTTCCATCCCCATGTGAAGCCCGAAGTCAGCTATAGGGCTAATGATAGCTATCAAAACGCCTGTCATTTGAAATAAATAAATATAGGTATACTAACTTTCAAATCCATAATCTCGTACTTTTAATTACAATGTGCGCTCAACCGATCACTTTCATCAATTAAAACGTTTATTATATTGAGGTTCAGTGTTGGGGCATTAGTCGATTCAGGATCTGCGTTTAACCACCTAATACTACTACCATCTCAGTTAGTAGTTTAAAGGGCTAACGCCATCGTAACACCAGCAGAATGTTTTCACAATCCTTTTAGACTAGGATGAATCGTAATTTGGATAGCGAAAGATTTCCTAGGAGTCTGAAGAAAACAAGAAAATGCCGATTTAAGTATTCCATGAAATACACACAGCTCAATCCAAATTTTGGCTAAACAAATTCTCAATTTCCATTAAATCGGTGTATTATTAGTCAGCTAATGAGGTAGGCACAACATTTAGATGTTACATACATAATTTTAATTTTTAATAGATCGCGATATGCAAATTCTCATCCCTAACAATTTTCACGATTTAATTAACCTGTAAATTTTTCAAATTTGAGGAAGTATAAACACTTTGGAAGTGTCACCAATAGATAAAAACTTGGTGAATTGAAGCCCCTACAAAAAATCTCCAGACAAACAAGAGAAAGAAAGCCAGAGGGATATTGGGGGTGGGGGGGGGGAGAGAGAGGGGTGCGAATTGGCGCCAATTTCGCCGCCAATAAACAAAAATTGTGTAGGGGTATGAGTAGATTGCATAATGGACATACGTACCAGAAAGAAGTGTAGTTTGAATGAAGCCAAAAAAGTTTCCACTTGCTATTTGCTTGAAGCAACGGAAATTGGACAATGGGAAGTGGAATAAATAGTAAAAGACGAGGGATTCAAAGCAAATTCTGAGAGCAACATCCATGAAGCCAAATGCTTTATCGTATTTACTTTCTGGTTTAGGATTATACAATATGTATTAAATAGATAGCTCGCGTTCCCTGTTTAATAATTTATCCGCTGGATATTCGGCGCTTATGGATTATTTTTTAGTCAGAAAGAGTTGGTCCAACCACTTCAATCCTTTGTTACTTTCCCTGTGATTGGGAAGGCAAAATGTTCGTATGAGCCATTGAGCAGTTTGCAGTTTTAACGAAGCAGTAGAGAGATGGGAAAAAATTTGGATGTGCTCGCTTAAGGAGAATCCTAATATTTAAGTGAAGTTACTCAACTTTCCAACTTGGGGTGTGCGATAGACTTAACTCCACGTGGTGCACCTTGGGCAACGTATATTCATACGGCAAAAAAGTCTATTAACTGGCAGTTGACTTCTCACTTCAAACTACCATCACCTCACTATATCCTATTCGACTTCTTCCATAGTACTTACCTCACCTTTTTCTATCCTTGTGTCTGTCTCTTTTACATCTTTGAAACACTCTTCTGTTTCCCCCTCCCCTCTCGACTTTTTTCAATTTGATGTACCTTCCTCTCTGTGAAGCCTGAAGTCAACTAAAGGGCTAATGATAACCATCAAGACGCCTGCCATTTGATATAATAATAATAATAACTTTCCAACGTAAGTGACATACTTTTGACTAGCATGTCTCAACTTCTCCACTTCCTGAGAGAAGGTAATAAATGAAAATTTTTGCCTAATGCGGAGGATATGAAGCTTATCTGGTTCGGTGGAAAACCTATTAGGACGCTGTTAGGAATAGCAGCACTAGCAGTTTGGGATAACATTCCATGAAAAAGCAAAAAAAACACTGGAAACTTTTCCTTGAACTACTAAT